TTTTTGTGGTTTCTTTTCAAACTTTCACTCTACACATTAGCTTTACTAGGGGTGAGGATTTCAGGTGCGCCTTTGTGCATTATTTCAGGCAAAATGTTGTACCTGCAGAGAACCGTCGACATTTTGAAACTACTTTGATAGGTTTTCCACACAAAAGCATAAAAGGTCCCTGGTGGTTTTCGAATTCATAGCAGTTCAGTTCAAGTGATTTGAATTCAGTAAACATAAACAGCTCGGCCTCGGTCGGACACCATTGTCTGACAAAATTTGTTACCGTCAGCTGTACAAATAAGCAGCTTTTTTTATTAACTTCTGGCGTGAAGTTTTAAGATTATAAATATTTGAAATAATTATAAAAAGAATAAAATTTAAATTTCTTATTTCAGTATGACTAGCAGAGAAATTTTTAATGTAAACAGGGGGTAATCCTCTGTGAAGTCATTTTCTGAAAACTTTTGTTTAAGTTTTCAGGCAATTCATTATCAAATAAAAATCACACTTTAGTATGAAGGTATGTTAAGATGTCATGTCTCTAGTCTGTTGAAAATTCGATACGATAATCTGACCTAAATTTTCTGTTCAATATTGTGAAAACTTAATGATTCTTCAATACTGTTGAAAGATCATGTCTGCCTATATCTGTATCAAATTTATCGGTGCACAGCGTAAAATACCTTTGAAAAACGGACACCTTTTATACAAAATAACTTGTAGTTTTATCATATGTAACTCGATTTTGAAAAGTTTTTTGATGGAGAATAATGATACTTAAGCGCAAATATAGAAAATACACTCCGTAGACCTTTCCTCATCGGCGATAAAGAAACGCAGGGGTAAAGTTCCGCGGCGCTGAACATAAAATGACTAAACGGAACGCATAACCTACTTGCAAAAATATATTGTAGCTTAACCATTTATAATATAATTTTAAAAATTCAATGTTCAGTTTCAAATAATAAAGCTCATCTGTCCTCACCGATTATTAAGAAAATGAATACAATAAAATCGGCACGTAAAAGACATAAGTAATAACGGAATTGACGGAAATTATTGCTAATTACAAGTTACAACGGTAGGCATGCAATTTGCGCATTCCCGATAGCGAAAGACCTTTTCAAAATTTGTAATTTTTTCTCTTTTTTTAAGAAAAAGTCTTTCCTGATTAATACAGGGTCCAGTGGAGGTTACACTGGAATATTGAATTTTGTATCAAAAATAGTAATCACTCCCATTTCGAACTCACGGGAACAAGTTTATAAGCATGCTAAGGCAACACTAGAACACGTTGTCATATGGGTGTGCGATCACGTGTTTCAATGTATATTGCATTTGATACAGCTTTTCTGAATTTGTAGATGCTTATGATTAGTACTAAAATGCGACCGAAAATGCAGCCTTAATAGAATTGTATTACATTTCCATTTTTATGAAACCAATGAGTGACCTCTGCTTTTGACTTAAGTTGTAAACAAGAAATTTGTTGGACGTTATTGGCATACCTAGCACATAATTTAAATAGTTTAACCAATATTCAGCCTGCAATGAAAATACAACTGCGTCGTATCATATTTTATTTTCAACTGCGTCGTATCATTTTGTAAAAATCATTATTTTCTTGGAAAATAAACATCTCTCTTAAATGAAAGTAAAGTAAATGATGCAAAATTATGTTTTGACGTTAATGGTGAACTCTGAAAACGAGTATATAATTGATTTGAAGGAAAAACGATAGATAAAGCAATATGAACTGCGTCGTATCCACACATTTTCATAAAAATTCTGCCCCGCTTCGAGTTGCAAGTTCGCTATAACTTTTGTTTTACAAAATAGTTGTGCAACGACATATACCGAACGAAGCGGAAAATAGTGTAGCGTGTTAATACATATATCTTGTTTTCAGTCATTTTCAACAAAGAGATTTATAAACAAAAACATACATTTTTCGTTCCAAGATGGCGGCGTTTGTTTACATTTTGTAGGATACGACGCAGTTTTGATTCCCAGCCCTGAGTAAAGCCGACCCTTTGAAACGTGTAGTTAACAAAGTTCTATTGAATTTTCCACACACAGCTCAACTGGTTTTACAATTATTAGCAAGGACGTCTTACAATGGTCATAGTAAATTTCATGAGCTACATGGATGAAACTATTGACTATTTAACATTTACGCAGCGTCAGTGGCCGTGCACTTAAGGTCTTTGATCCAAACAACTTACCCCTTTACTGCTGTTGGTTCGAATCCCTCTGGGGACTTTTGGTGCTTTATATAGTATACAAGGATGCTATTCAGCAAGCTCGTGGAATATCGGTGGTTCTACTCAGGTGCTCGTTCGTACTTGAAATAATGCACGGAGGGGCAGCTAAGGTCATCCTCGACCAGTGAAGCTGGAAAGTCGCAATATCACCTTTACAGTGTTGATGTGAAGTAAAATCCAGCCAAAAAATTATATTACTCGAAAGTGATTAGTCTCCCCAGTGTGACCAGACTCTAGACTGATTGTTGACCCACTTTTACATATTACCTGAAAGTGATTAGTCTCCCCAGTGTGACCAGACTCTATACTGATTGTTGACCAACTTTTACATATTATCTGAAAGTGATTAGTCTCCCCAGTGTGACCAGACTCTAGACTGATTGTTGACCAACTTTTACATATTACCTGAAAGTGATTAGTCTCCCCAGTGTGACCAGACTCTATACTGATTGTTGACCAACTTTTACATATTACCTGAAAGTGATTAGTCTCCCCAGTGTGACCAGACTCTAGACTGATTGTTGACCAACTTTTACATATTACCTGAAAGTGATTAGTCTCCCCAGTGTGACCAGACTCTAGACTGATTGTTGACCACTTTTTACATATTACCTGAAAGTGATTAGTCTCTCCAGTGTGACCAGACTCTATACTGATTGTTGACCAACTTTTACATATTACCTGAAAGTGATTAGTCTCCCCAGTGTGACCAGACTCTATACTGATTGTTGACCAACTTTTACATATTACCTGAAAGTGATTAGTCTCCCCAGTGTGACCAGACTCTATACTGATTGTTGACCAACTTTTACATATTACCTGAAAGTGATTAGTCTCCCAGTGTGACCAGACTCTATACTGATTGTTGACCAACTTTTACATATTACCTGAAAGTGATTAGTCTCCCCAGTGTGACCAGACTCTATACTGATTGTTGACCACTTTTACATATTACCTAAAACTGATTAGTCTCCCCAGTTGACCAGACTCTATACTGATTGTTGACCAACTTTTGCATAATACGTACCTGAAAGTGATTAGTCTACCCAGTGTGACCAGACTCTATACTGATTGTTGACCAACTTTTACATATTACCTGAAAGTGATTAGTCTCCCCAGTGTGACCAGACTCTATACTGATTTTTGACAAACTTTTACATATTACCTGAAAGTGATTAGTCTCCCCAGTGTGACCAGACTCTATACTGATTGTTGACCAACTATTACATAATACGTACCTGAAAGTGATTAGTCTCCCCAGTGTGACCGAGACTCTATACTGATTGTTGACCAACTTTTACATAATTACCTGAAAGTGATTAGTCTCCCCAGTGTGACCAGACTCTAGACTGATTGTTGACCAACTTTTACATATTACCTGAAAGTGATTAGTCTCCCTAGTGTGACCAGACTCTATACTGATTGTTGACCAACTTTTACATATTACCTGAAAGTGATTAGTCTCCCCAGTGTGACCAGACTCTATACTGATTGTTGACCATCTTTTACATATATTACCTGAAAGTGATTAGTCTCCCCAGTGTGACCAGACTCTAGACTGATTGTTGACCAACTTTTACATATTACCTGAAAGTGATTAGTCTCCCCAGTGTGACCAGACTCTATACTGATTTTTGACAAACTTTTACATATTACCTGAAAGTGATTAGTCTCCCCAGTGTGACCAGACTCTATACTGATTGTTTGACCAACTTTTACATAATACGTACCTGAAAGTGATTAGTCTACCCAGTGTGACCAGGCTCTCTATACTGATTGTTGACCAACTTTTACATATTACCTGAAAGTGATTAGTCTCCCTAGTGTGACCAGACACTATACTGATTGTTGACCAACTTTTACATATTACCTGAAAGTGATTAGTCTCCCCAGTGTGACCAGACTCTATACTGATTGTGTGACCAACTTTTACATATTACCTGAAAGTGATTAGTCTCCCCAGTGTGACCAGACTCTAGACTGATTGTTGACCATCTTTTACATATTACCTGAAAGTGATTAGTCTCCCCAGTGTAACCAGACTCTATTACTGATTGTTGACCAACTTTTACATATTACCTGAAAGTGATTAGTCTCCCGAGTGTGACCAGACTCTAGACTGATTGTTGACCAACTTTTACATATTACCTGAAAGTGATTAGTCTCCCCAGTGTGACCAGACTCTATACTGATTGTTGACCAACTTTTGAAAGTGATTAGTCTCCCCAGTGTGACCAGACTCTAGACTGATTGTTGACAAAACTTTTACATATTACCTGAAAGTGATTAGTCTCCCCAGTGTAACCAGACTCCTATACTGATTGTTGACCAACTTTTACATATTACCTGAAAGTGATTAGTCTCCCGAGTGTGACCAGACTCTAGACTGATTGTTGACCAACTTTTACATATTACCTGAAAGTGATTAGTCTCCCCAGTGTGACAGACTCTATACTGATTGTTGACCAACTTTTACATATTACCTGAAAGTGATTAGTCTCCCCAGTGTGACCAGACTCTATACTGATTGTTGACCAACTTTTACATATTACCTGAAAGTGATTAGTCTCCCTAGTGTGACCAGACGCTATACTGATTGTTGACCAACTTTATCTTGATATTCCTAAAGCTAATCATGGAGATTTAAAAAATTCAACAGGTAAAGTGTTAAATACCAGCATTGCTTTCATTTATAAAACGCCAATTATGGAATGTTCGACACCATTTCAAATAAAGATGACGCAAATTTTTATTTTGTAACAGTGTTTTTATCAACATATCTGATATTTTCTTACACAATAATTCACCCCACTATGCTAACAGCAGTTTCAATTTCTGAAAATTAAGATGGTAGAGATTATTTGACGTGTGTGATATATAAAGAAAACGAAACACACAAGAAAATGCCGAGACTTTTCAGTAAAGTGAACGAAAGCTGACCTCCCACCTGTCTTTTGTAATGTAATGTAATGTAATGTAATGTAGTATTCAGGCCAGAACATCATCAAGGATGCTAAGCTGAGCTTCTTAGGCCGATTTGGTAGACATGACTCTAGACTAGTCACTTCAGAGAAAAGTTATGTGATACAAGGGAATCCGGGAACCAGTCCCTAGCTCTTATTGAAAAGACCCCTTCGATCTTTTACATGCCCCGTGTATAGCACTGATACATGCGAGGTATTACCTGGGCTTCTTACCAGTACACATCTGGTTAGGCGAGAAACACTGAAACTGTCTCTGAAAAATCCCAAGGGTGTTACCGGGGACCTCTGGGAGTGACAGCCAGTGGTCTAACCAACTGAGCTATCGCGCCACCTCTTTGAGAAACCAAAAGAGCAGGGTAAATACTTTACGGCAGCAGCAAAGCAAAACGTAAAAGTCTCACTATGTACATAATTGGCATGGATAATAATGAACTAAAGATCATCATATTTTACTATATTGACAAAATGCGTAGTGTGACTCTCCGGAATCATGTCAAATATTTCCTCGAACCCACATGGTACGTCGTCCCAGTAACCTTGCTGCTGTGGTACAAATACCACACAGTCTTCATAATTGTGCCCTGCTGGACTATTGTTGTCGTGTCCGGGTATCCAATTTGTATACTGGACGGCTGTTCCTATCATAGAAAATACATGTACATATATATCGAATTCTGATTATTACGTGATTCACATTACATTCCGAAATTACGAGAAATGGTTGTACATGACTGTATTATGTGTGCCTCTGAAAAAAGGGGCAAACAGTTGTATTAGTTTATTGTTATAACCATTTGGACAGTCATTGTTGAATTATTGACAATTATTGACAAGCTAGCTATATAGGTCTCACCAATATGTGTTTTTCGAGAGTAAAACGTATTATGTCACACCATCATGTATGTCACACCTAGTCGGGGAGCAAAAACGCACATCAATGCTATTTTGAAATACTTAATATGTTCTAACTATGACTGAGACTGTGTGATAAGGAAACAGTGGGATTCTATATAACTCTTGTTTTTTTACACATTTTTTTCTCTACCTTCGGGTTTTAAGGATAATAGAAAAAAACTAACATGGGCAACATTAAATAGAGGATATTGAATGAGTGTAAGTTCAATACTGAATTTATTGCACGAGTTGAATAAAATGATATTATGCGAGCCTCTGGCGAGCATAATATTATTTTATTCAACGAGTGCAATAAATTCAGTAATGAACTTACACGATTTTAATATTCTATTTATCACATACCCAAAATAAAGACCGTTTAAAGTGAAATAAGAGTCATTTTTCATTGACGTGCCTATAGTATAACGCTAACATTTAGTGCGTCTTTACACTATGTTTGTATTACGCTAATGACGTCACGTCAAAATATATGCACGGCCGTGCAATACCATATTTACGGAGTCGCAAAATCGGCACGGGTGTGTGATAAAAAGGGTTTACATACCGGCTGTCCATTGAAAGTGTCCTTCTGTCAAAGTATCGTGAAGTCCTATCCATACAGCATGGTTAGAATTATGACGCCGCATGAAACTCTCTATAAACGCTTGTTGGTCGGCATTACTTATGTGTGCTAAATGACCACCCTTTGCCTGACATATATTTTCACCGTGCTCCCAGGAAACCTTAGAGTTGAGAATGAGTTCATAGCACCCACGTTCGTACTGTCCAAGTACGGTCCCGTGAAACGCAGAATTACTTTTGATACTTCTTGGACAAAGATGTATATTACCTAATAAACAAATCTATACATGGGTAATTTACTAATGTACGTTTATCAACTACACTGTTGTATAACTACTACATTTTACAGTTATGATGTTTTTAAATTCAAAAACGATGATTTGCTTATGAGTGGCTAAATGAATGAAACATATGAACAAATACATGTATATAAGTCATATGAAGAAATATTATTCCGCAAGAAAAAGTTTTCAACATAAGAAGACCATCATTCTTGGTTCTTGTTAAAAACTACGTCAGATGCGGATCGTAGATATAAATAGACTCATTGCCACCCTAATTTCCCTTCCTGTACAGCCCTCTCTTTACCCCATCCTCTCTGTACACCACCCTATCTCTTTGCACCACCCTCTCAATGTACCGCCTTTACCCTACATCGCCCCATCCGTGCACCACCCCCGACTGCCCCCACCCTGCACAACCTTCTTCTTGCACAACTACACAATCCTGTCTGCACAGACCTTACCTACACCTCCCTCTCCACGCACCAAGCGCTCCCTGGACAATCTCCCCTTACACCGTCTTTCGTGCACAAGGCCCTTACTGCACACTCTCTCCCTTCATCGCCTCTTCAGTTTCCAACTTGCTGACCTTCCGGTTGTCTTAGGTACTTTGAAGCTAACAGTGGCGGCACACCGTGAACGTCGGTCTTTCTTGTTGACTTTTTTATACGGTATATATTTAATATTTATCATAAATTTCATTCTCTTAGCAATCAAATATAATGAATATATTAAATGGTGTTTTATAATTAGTGTTTTACATTTACATACCATCTGTGAAGTTAGAGCTTATGTTTACAATTGACATCTGTGTAGAAATTTCACCGCCTGTTACTACAGTTCCTGAAATGGAAAAATGTTATTTTTGTGGCAAAAAGTGTTGCAATATGATATAACCAATCTTTATACATGTATTATATGTATTATAAGATGCTTTTACAATTTTCACTGCATGACTACAGACAATGAGGTACATTACAAAATTCACAACTGCCAACATGGTAGAGCGACACATGCATACAAGGTATTAGTATTTTCAAAAATGCTAGGAATCGCCAAACAGCTGGGTATTAAAAATCCTTTTTAGTGACAGACATATGTCGTGATATATAGGGATATAAATATGATTGTATATATTACCAAAATTGACAGATTTAGGGATAAATATATAAGTGTATATATATTACCAAATTTGCATATGTAAGGGTACGCCTCGAACATACATTCACGATCGTCCCACCTTCCATCATGTAAATGCATATCCATAACAACACAGTCTTCAAAGCTGTCCGAGAAGTGGGTATGGTTTGCCCAATTAACAAAATAGAATCGTTCCCCTATAACGTAAAAATGTTGTCATGTAAAAGTGCCTGGTATATTTTTCATTCAATTTCATAAAAGCTATATGTAACTTAATTTCTAAACACATTAATTAGCAATGACAATAAGCATATTGCATAAAGGAATGGTGAATAATACTAAATATTGTTCTCGTTGCTCTAAGAATTTAAATTTTTTTTGCATTGATAGATATATCAATGTATAGCAATGCATTATATCTTCAATTATCAATTCATTATATCTTCAATTATCAATTAAAGGTTAAGCTATTCTACTTAGGTTCATTATGGCACTTACTAGCCTAATTAATTTGGCGTGAACGGTTTGACCCATTTTACAGACTTTTTTTATTACTGTCAAACTTGGAAAAAGACAGCGCCCGTCCAAAATTATCTCGGTGTCTCTTTGACAAGTCTAATTAGTTGGACTAGGCACTTACCTGACGACCATTTAAAATGTGCTTCATTTTGTATATCACTAAGTCCAATCCATATAGAGTGTCTATTATACGTTTGAAGAAAATTGTAAAGAAACTCTTGTTCCAAACGTGTTGATATGTCTACTAAATGACCACCTGCTGAGTTACAGTTTTGCTCCGCCGTGGACCAATGTTGATACATTTTGATTAAAGCATAACAGTTGTTATCAAATTGCGCAAGGACACCATGGTTGGATTGTGTAAATGTACGAACGGTATCCGAACACATGCTCGTATTACCTGGAATGTACAAATTAGCTAATCGCAATCTTGAATTACCTGAAATGTACCTACCGGTATCCGCACACAAGTTTGAAGCAATTAAAAGGTACCAACCGGTATCCGAACACAAGTTTGAAGCAATTAAAAGGTACCAACCGGTATCCGAACACAAGATTGAAGTAATTAAAATGTACCTCCCGGGGTCCAAACACGAGTTTAAAGCAATTAAAATGTATTAAGATCTTAGAAAAATAAACTATTACGGTCGCATGTACTTATACAAAGATTTTGAGAAAAAGAAAATGTGCGCAATATATGCTGAGATTTATAAAGGAAGATATCTTTGCAGTATTCTTCTACATGTTCTATACTAATTTATAGCTGTTAATCGATCAAAATGGTTATTTTGCTTTAAAAATGCCCCCTTTAAAGTCACGAAGGGACATAACTCAAATGCAAGTTCAGAGTTTAACAAAAACTAAAATAAAACATTTCCATTCTATCATCTTCATTCATGCTGAGTGGGGCGTTCTTACCGAGGTGAAGTTATGGGATTATTTCTTTGACCTTTGATCTCTAAAACCCCATAAACAACTTATTTGCACCCTATAAGCAACCCCCACCAACACACAAGATAGACACGGATTTTCGCTTGAGTTCGTGTGTATGCACGGACTGACATCCACACGGACTGACGGACGCCAATATTTGGGGTATATGTGTTTTTTCTTTGATCTTTATGTGGCATTTTCCCACATAAACCAGGATATTTACCACATAAACCAGTTCCTTCTTTTTTAAAGTAAGATTATGGCCGAAATGAAGCTCATAGACCATTGAATGTTTGCCGGACGGCCGGACGAACGGAGAGCCGGACAACACCATATCCATATCCAATTCCGATTTCATGGTGTTAAGAGCCTAAGAGGTTTAGATGCTTTATATATCCTCTTTGGAAGGTGTTATAAACTTCATGAAACAATAACGACTAATATAAATATCTATACCTAAGCTAAATGAATTATGTGATTTTGTTGTGGTAGTTTCAACATAACCAATTGTAGAAGTTTGTCGCGAAGTTTCCGTTGTTGGGTTATTGCTTTCTGTCGTAGTTTGCTTTTGAGAAATAAGTGACGGTAAAGTTTGTGTACTTGTAGATACTGGTTGCGTTGACAACGGTACTGCTGCTGATGATGGTGACGAAGTTGACACTACGGTAGTAGTTGTAGTTAGTGTTGTTGTGGTTGATATAACAGAATGTGCTACTGTCGTCACTGAAACGTTCAATCAGAGCATAAATGTTTACAAATACAAGAACAGGATTAAACATGATGAATTAAAATATGGACGAGTACCATCAATTAGTTATTGTCATTGAAATCTTGTTTAATTCCTGTGTATAGATCAACATTTAGCATATCAACAGACAACTCTCTGTTAATTAACATAGCTTTGTAGAGCAGTTCATTAACAATTTCGAACACGGCGCAAATCAACGTCACGTGATTTATTGACGTCACATTTAATTATGGTATCTTATCATTTGTGATATATTAATGTTACAATATCACGACTATTCAACGCGGAACCGGATTTAGAACATTAAGTGCTTTTAGATCAAATGAATGTGCGTCTTCAAACTCACAGAGTTTAAATAAATCATACGCCTTTAGTTACTTGTGCACACCAACAGTACATGTCCTACATATACTTTAGTTATGTGTATTAAGGAGGCGTTAAAAGGTGTGTGTTTAGTGCGCGTGAAAATGTGTGCGTTAAGTAGGCGTGAACATGCGTTAAGTACTGTATGAGTCTGTATCATTTGCTTTCTGGTAAAATGTAGAAATATATGTGCATTTTAAATGGTGACAAAACAAGTCTTCTAGAAAAGATAACTGGAAATGATAAATTACTTTTTAAATAAGAACTGTCGGAGGACAGTAAGGTTCGACTATTCGAAAAAGTTGTCACAAGGGTGTTTTATTGAGTATAATAATGCTTACCTATGAATACATAAAATTGGCCAAAAAGGTACAAAGGCTTGTTATTAAGATGTTTTATCAAGTAAATCACTGCTTTATTATTATGAATGCACAAAATTGTCCCAAAAAAGGCACCAACCCTTCAGTAGTTATGGAGATAACAGCTTACAAGCCAAACTTTACCACGAATTTCTAAGTTGAATAAGGGGGAAAAATCAGCGTAAATGCAAGATAGAATTATGGATCTTGGTCAGTGACCTACAATTATGACCCTAAATACATATGTGACTTTTTTAATAAATATCTTTAATAGTTATTGAGATATGTAAATCTTGCATGTAAACATTAACCAAGAGACTAAGTAAAAGCACGGATGTATATTACAGGGATCGGACACTCCCAGTTAACGCTATATAAATGCTTAAATATCTTGTCGTGCACCCGATAAAGGTACATCGATCGATAATTTATCGGCGCTAAGCGAAAATGCCCGTTCGCAACGGATACCTACTTTACAAAATACCATATAGCTTTTCCATTTATTATCCGATTTTTGAAATTTAAAGTTTATTTTCAAGAAAAATGCTTGTTTAATTCAAATATCTAATTTATTTTTTAAAGATACAGACTATCTGTCTGCAACGACGATTAAGAAATTAACTTGACACGAAATCCGCGGTAAATTTACATTTTTTATATAAAAAGCAGATATTTGAAATTTATTATTACGGTAACATAATAAATTCAATTTCAAAATAAAAAAGAAGCCGATGGAAGTTATTCACAGTTGATCAAAGATGCAATATTTAAGATTTATTTGGTTATGTAGTCAAATTAATTGACGCACAATTGTTTTACGGGTAATGTATTGCGGGCTTTACAATTCGCTCAACACGTAAAATAAATTTAGTCATTTTTTTAAATACAAGATATTGCTGATATTGTCAATACATGTACTGCCATTTTCATAAAATATTTAAATTTTCTTCATCATTTATATAATTATTATTTTTTTTGTAAATCTGTAAAATGTCGGTGCAGTGAAGTAGACAATCATCGTAACAGTAAAGTACTCTCGTGTGGCTGTCTCGATTCCGGCCTTTTTAATGTCACTCGTATATTTTAATTATTTCACTCGTATATTTTAACTATTCTTTTTATTTGAATGCCTGTAGAAAGATATTTCTGATATTTTTAATGTAACGCTAAAAAAACAATAAAAATCTTTACAGTTTGAGTCAGTATTATGCGAAATAAAAGTAACTGTTGATTTTTTTTACACATCGCTTAAATTCTTTGAAGTTTAATTACTTTTGAAGGGGGTTAATTACCAGGTAACAAGTGATAATTGAAAAACTTTGTTTTCAAACTTTCATTATCAGGTCACATGTGATAATTTCAACACTCAATCTTTCAAAACAAATAGAAATTGAATGTATATGTTGAATGTAATAAAAATCCGTGGTAAAAGGGGGAGATAAATCAGCCTAAATACATGACTCAGACACTTGCATGTTAAACTAAACCAAGAAAAGGAGATTTTTTTAGTACAAAAGGGAGCATAATTCAGTCAAAATACAAGGCAGAGTAATGATCTTGAGATGTGACCTTCAATTATGACCCTAAGTAAATGTGTAAAGTTTCAAGTAAATATCTTTGAAGACCTTTAACCAAAATTTCTAAGTTTCAAAGGGGCAAATAATACTGCAAATATTGCAGGCAGACTTTTGCAACTTTGCAAACTGATGTACATTGTTACTATAAAAAATATTGTAAATTTCAATTGAATATCTCGAGCAATAATTGAGATATTTGACTTTACAAAAAACTTTAACCACATTTCTAGGTTAAAAAGGGGCATAATTCTGTAAATATTACAGGCAGAGTTATCCAACTTGTCAATCTGATGTACATTGTTACGCTTAATAAGTATTGTTAGTTTCAATTGAATACTAGTATCTCAAGCAATAATTGAGATATTTGACTTTACAAGAAACTTTAACCAAAATTTCTAAGTTTAAAAAGGGGCATAATTCTGTAAATATTACAGGCAGAGTTATCCAACTTGTCAATCTGATGTACATTGTTACTATAAATAAGTATTGTAAGTTTCAATTAAATATCTCAAGCAATAATTGAGATATTTGACTTTACAAAAAACTTTAACCAAAATTTCTAAGTTCAGAAGGGGCATAATTCTGTAAATATTATAGGCAGAGATATCCAACCCGTCAGTCTGATGTATATTGATACTATAAATAAGTATTGTAAGTTTCAATTGAATATCTCAAGCAATAATTGAGATTTTTGACTCCTCAAAATACTTCAACCAACGCAGACGCGGACGCCAACGCCGGGGCGACTACAATAGCTCTCATACTCTTCGAATAGTCGAGCTAAAAAGGAATGTAAAGTTAAAATGGTAGACAACATAATTATGATTCAGTGATAACTTGAGAGGCAAGAATCAGTACAGAAGTATACCAGTGTCTTCCCCAGGTGGGTCACCAGGACATAGCTGCTCTTCTGTCTTTTCATCTATACGAATGTACCCAACCTATTGAAAAATCAATCAATGAGAAAAATGATGATTTTTATATACATAATAATTAAGAGGGCGATAAGTTGAGAGCTGACTTGTTCTTAAAGTGACTGCCTCTCAATCCAGGGATCGTGAGTTTAAGCCCTGCTCGGGTAAAGACCATGCTTCCTCCTTTCACCAGACTGTATTTTTCTCAAAGAATTAATTAGCGGATCGGAGATTGGTATGAATAAGCTACACAATATGTGCACATTCAAGCTTATATGCATTATTTTAAATCTTAAAAAGAATCACTTGTTATCCATTTCTAAAAAATAACAAATAAACATGCATAATAAGAACGTTTCTGTAATGAGTTTAATGCAAAGCCCGTCTAATGTAATAATCTTTTAAACAGGTGATATCATAAAATAGAAAAAAGGACCATTAAAAGACAATAAAAAACGACAAAGCCTGAAAGTCTGATTCAGAAATTTCATTTAAAGCAATTTATCGACCACGCTGATTCCAAACATGTACATGGTGTTTAATTAAAAAGCAGACAAAGCGCCGTTTGACGTGCTTCGCTAAGACGACAGCGCAACAACGCGCCGTTTGGCGCTTTGTTCTGTTGTCGCTAGCGACAAGACGAAAAGGCGATGGCGATATAGTGTTGTGTTGACACGTTGTACCAAATCAGCCACCATAGGAAGCTACATCAATAAATCCCTCCATCAGCTGCCACGGTCCTTATTATAGTATATTTAGACTACAGACATATCCTCAGTGAGACAAACAATTTAATATGTTACGTGCATGGTATAGCTTTAAATAGCTAGATCTATATATACATTGTACACATATATTCTATAATCAAGCATAATTTTATACGAGCATGCTCATATTTGATCAGTCTAGCACATAGTTCATAGTTTGTCAATAGATTTATTCTGCATAAGTACGTCTGATTTTGTTTAACAAATCGCAACATTTCGGACCAGACCGGTATATCAGCCAGGGAGCGACAAGATCATTCGGAACTGCCTCGGCTATTATCTATAATAACCTTGGAAACAATACGGACAGATGTAAACAGAAACAGAGATAATGAAAATACGAATGTATATATTTGACATCAAATGTCTGTTCCGGTACCCTTATGCTTGAAAATATGACTGACAACAATTTGTAATTCAAATATGCCCATTGATGTTCAATTTTAAACAAATCCGACTAAATGTCAACAGGTTGGTTTTTTGTACTTTCGGTTTCTACAACCATAATTATAAATATATAAATAATGTATTGATTGCTTTTGTACCTATGAATTCACTTATTTTAGGTGGACTTTTGCTACATATAGTAGAAATAAACTTTGTCAACAACTCCCAACATTAAATTACTATTTGTTTACATGTTTAGTTTCTTAGCGTAGGTTAGACCGAAATACCGCATCTGTTCTGTGTATTCATACTATTGTGTTCGAGGTCCTTATCCGAAGACTGACGGAAAGGGCCGAGTAGTTGCGATTGCCCTCAAGATATTTCACCCGCTAAAATCAATAAAACACTACCCGTCGCCCCTTATGTTTTCTAGACTAAATATTTCAACATTATATTTTGATCTACCTTCGCATTTAAGCAGGGACGAGTCGTAAGCTTAGCGTATATTTGACGCTTTTAGCACTTTTAGTGCTTTGATTCAAACGGATATGGATTCAAGGAATTGGCAATTAAAACTGAAGAAAACCCTGTATCAGCAGATAAATAACTAAAGGAAACATTGTAAACAACACGTACCTTATGTTCAAATGCGACTTTATACCATCCTGGTTGATCTGGGGTCATATCTAGTTTCTGTTTACAATCAAACTCGTACATGTATCCAATAGGGCTGTCCTGTTCGCTGGTCTTTTAAATGAGGAAATATGAGGGAGAAAAAACAACATTTTTGATTTAGTTAGAAAAAATGATTGTCTTTAAACTGATGCAATTTATAAATTAAGACAAATAAATATATATTAAGTAATAAAAAGTAGACAAAGCTCAATTATTGCAGGACGTCTAAAACAAGACGCATTGCCCGGTACATAGAAAAGGAAAATCTTAAAATCTACCCACTACATATGCAAGTGCTTGCATGGTGTAGATTTTAGAGACATTTAAAAGCAACAATTAATACAATAGTTAGCGCAAGAAATGGTAAAGAATAATCAGTTTTACAATATGTCTTAAGATTACCACTTTGAAAAATAAGTAAGTAGTTTAAAATGATATCAACAGAGTAACCATGTTTAGCATCTCTATGTTAAAGGGACTCCACTGCGGTTTTATTCACGTGTAGGGACCGAATTCGAAAATATCTTTTCAAGATTTTTGTATAACTACATGTTTGTCTAGACCAACAACACATGAACAAATTTTCAGATTGTTCGCTCACTCCGATTCCCAGAAATATTCAATTTTTGTGCAAATTGGCCCAAAAAATGGAAACCGTTGCAACGCTTTCACTTATATCGGCCAAAATCGCATAAAAATCGAAAATCAATTCAATACTGTGTATATTTCTATATAATCTATTGCTTGGTTTCAAATTAAAGTGGACTAGTTGAATTTAGAAAGTATTCAAAAGTTATTATTTTAGTCTATTGGACCTAAGTGGAGTTCCTGTGACATAGCTAGGTCCAAATAAAAGGGTCTTCTTTCTGTACATGCATTTGTATCTAGATGTGTGTAAACATATGTCTTCGGTGTCCCGTTAGGGCCATCGCGACACACACACGAACACACACGCACGCACACACACCAACGCACGCACACATTACACACACACACGCGCGAATGCACGCACACACATAACTCGAAACAAAGAGAACACGAAATCATATCGAGATTTCACCATCGTGGCTTCGTTATTTCGTTTTTTTCGCCATCGTACTTTCGACTTTAACTCACAATACCTCCGACTTATCACCATCGTGGTTTCGTTTTTTCGCCTTTTTTTACCATCTTAATTTCGTGTTTTCATTGTTTTGGTTTATGTGTGTGTTGCGATGGCCCTAGAGGGACACTGTACATATAACTACAATGTATATAACTAAGAATATACTTCACATCACCTCTCTTCACCTCACCTCATTTCACTTCTCATCACTTCACTTCACGTCACATATTTTACTTTACTTTTTCTTCATGACATATTTCGTTTCAACTAAGTTTACTTCACTTTTTATATTTCGATTTGTTTACCTCAAGTTATGCTTCTACAAGCCATATATATTGTACAGAATAATCAATTATTCACAAGATAATTAAAACGTCATACATTCAAATAGTAATCTATAATTGAAAAAAAAACCCAAATAAATGTAAATAAAATTAAAATAAACGAAAAAGCACTCACTGTTGAGAATACGCTTTTTTCAACAGCGTAATTACAGATACACGCAAAATCTCCAAATGCACGAAAACTAAACATAACTAACAAACTTGTTGTTGCTGCTAACCTCATTTCTAAAAAAGACGTTGAAAATAAAAGGTTACAAAGGTTGTCGATGAAATAGCGGATTTTATAAATCACTTTTTTATGCCATATACAGTATATTATATTGTATATGTAAAAATTACTTACCGAGCATTTTATTTTGTCTAAAGCAGTATGGAATTATGACCTTGTTTCTATGCCTTTTATTACACCTAGTCAATGTTTAGATAAGATGTCGCCAGAGGTCAATATTTTACATCAACTGTTGACATATTTATGTTGAAATGCCAGGCATATTTCATTTACGAAAGTAAATCAGTGAATCTTATCATTGTAGTTCTAAATTAGGCAGCAGATTAGGATGTTCGTGAAACCAGACAGTCAGAGCAGCCGTACATTAAATGAAACCATATTGGACACGGATGTCCACGTAAAATAACATGGCGTTGCGTGAGACACACCCTCTGGCTCTGTGACGACACCCGTCAGATATTTTGATAACATGCAAGTCGAAAAGGGTTAAAGCCATTAGGAAAGTGGACAAACTTTCTTCGATTTAAAGTTCAACATTAGGTTATAACCTTAAGTAGCAAACATAGATTTTGCGCATGACACACCGTCTGACCCAGATAAAGACAAATGCCCAATAATGTGACAAGCCTAAGGCAAACAGGATTTCACTTTCGACCTCCAAAAACAACTTGAACATTGCATGCAACTTGACAGTTTTTCGTATCCTTAATAGTAACCTGTTCAGTTTTTGCTTAAACTTTGTTTTCGTAGGTTAAGGTTTGTCAATACTGTGGCAGAAAATGTCCCAAAACATCCTTAAAACACCAGACAATTTTACATGCTAACTATTGCTTGGTTCTTTCTTTGGAAATTAGCCAGAAACGATGGAAACCCCGGTCCTTCGATGATCTATATGTGTTCAATAGCCAACTTCACATGTCAAAAACATAAAAGACTAGACCTATTGATTCTATCATGACAATATTTATAATTTCATGTAGTGCGATCACTTAATTTTCATTGGTTTAAACGTATTTTTAACAAGTGAACAAAGTACATTTTGGGATTCGGCAGAAAGCTATAAAGCTTATGAGTGTCCTCTCCCATTGAAATAAAACTATTGAAAATTCTACTAGATCTATTTTTTTCTTATATGAAATCAATGTTTATCAATTACCTTTACTCTTCTATTTTTGGATTTTCTGACCGCAGATCAGTAAATACAATGCTGACATTCAATCTCTGACACAGAATTTTCACGACAAACCTAACAACAAGTAGTTCTCAAAACAGCTTAAAACTAGCGATGTAAAAGAAAGAAATATTTTTATTTTTATTTTATTTTCTTACAAGTATCCAACAAATTGCAAGGCATTCAAAGTTTTAAAGTAGCGTTGGCTTATAGGAATGTCAATAAATGCAGAATCACAAATTACGCGGATGAACATCACTTTTATACGGTGTTACTAAGTCGTGGCCACGAGATAGCTAAGTGGTGGCCACGAGATACTATGTCGTGGGCACGAGTTACTAAGTCGTGGCCACGAGATAGCTAAGTCGTGGCCAAGAGTTAATAAGTCAAAGCCACGAGATACTCAGTCGTGGGCACGAGTTACTAAGTCGTGGCCACGAGATAGCTAAGTCGTGGCCAAGAGTTAATAAGTCGAAGCCACGAGATACTCAGTCGTGAGCACGAGTTACTAAGTCGTGGCCACGAGATAGCTAAGTCGTGGCCACGACTTACTATGTCGTGGCCACGGGTTGCTAAGTCGTGGCCACGAGATACTATGGCCACGACTTAGTAACTCGTGGCCACGACTTATATTAGTAACTCGTGGCCACGACATAGTAACTCGTGGCCACGACATAGTATTTCGTCAGACCAAACAAATAATGGTAGCGAAATTTCAGACTCTGATGCTGTTAATTGCAAATGCCGAAAATAGTCGGCTTTATTTAAGCGATTACTTCCCTAGCTTTATATGTACACTTACGCCGAAAAATTCAGGGGAGATCACTGCGTAAAGATGGCGCATTTATTTTCAAACAAAAAAGTTCCCGAATGGTCGAAGATTTTTAATATTGTTTTATTCTTTATAGATATACATGCTTATTGTAAGCTCCATGATTATTAACATAGATCTGTGTTAAACAACAGGTTTAGCGTCAAAATAATAAGTTACAAACCCTTATTTAGAATAATATGGTTTTTCTCCAGAACCTAAACATGTAACTTCACCGTGGCCGAGGGGTTTGTACGCTTGCTTAGGAGTCGAGAGGTCTGGAGTTCAAATCCCAGTTAAGGTAACTCTTTATTTTTTAGATTGTTTAAGCCAAATCAACAATGAATTGAATATCAGTGTTGCAATAACCAATTTACTACAGTTAAAACACTGAAAAGCATTGGTGGCACTATACAAAAACAAGTTGTTTATAATCTCCCAACCTTCACCTTTCTGACATTCTGAGGCTAAAACAAAGTCAGCGCCTTCTGTGCTTTGATTTTAAAGTGTGGCTGTCATAAAATTTAATGATTTTTTTATGCAACTCTAGTCATGCAAAATTCCGTATGTCTGTTGTAGTAAAAACTCTAAACGCTTTCGCCTGTAAGATGAATTATAGTATATAACAATAACTTTTACAAGAAAATACATACAGATATTCACAAGTACGATTTAGATTGCGCTTGCAGCCCTTTGATTTCAATAAGGTTTACTTCCGGAGGCTGACGGAAAGGGCCGAAAACTTGCGATTGTCATGAGATACGCAAGCACGCATGCGCGAAAATATGTTCGGATTTTCACTTCCGGTGAAGTTGTTACACAGAGGCTAGTCAAACTTTACCATGATATAATTAGTTTATAATGTCATAAACAAGATTTACTTTGTATTTTTCCAAGAATCCATGTTAAGGAATCAGAAAGTATGAATATTTGAAATTTCTTTTATGTTGTTGTTGCAATATTATCGATAGTTGAATTCATTGAAAACGAAAGTAGGAACTAGGGTGTGTCCAGTTTTAATAGTTTTGCAGGTCGATTAATCAAAGGTGAAAAACGTCACTCAGATTACATCTAGGTTACGGTTAAACGTGTTTTATTGTTTTATTGGTTACAAAGGTGCTAGTCGCATTAATTTGACCTAGTTGCAGGGGTTGACACTAACTTTTAAGCCAGGAATCCCAACGGGACATCTATTTTTGAATTCAAAAATCCCTTCCCTAATTTGGAAGTCCCTGATTTTTTTATATAATTATAAGAATAAAGCAATAACCTTTGTCTATCAGTATTGATATGCAACTTATTTTTATTGTTCTTTCGTTCCACTTTTTGGGATGTTGATCATTGCCCATCTGTGTTAACATTGAGTAATTAAGGAACCAACTCCTCTTATGTTTCCTTCCAGCATTATTAGTATTGGTAACAAAATCATACATGCAGTCGGAAGTGTTTATAGGTCTTGTAAAATATGTCCACTCCTAAATATTACTGACTTCAATACAATTTATAATTTATTTTGTCCCTTTGTCTGTAGTTATGCAGTAAGTAATTTTCATTTGTTGTTATAATATTGCTGTAGCATGGAACTCCGTATTATTGCCGTACTTAACTTTTCCTATATGTCTGCATTGAATTTCATTGATGAATTTAATAATCAATATGTTGTGTAAAGCAGTACAAAATCAATTAATAATTACATTTTTTATTGAATGAGGTCAAAGATTTTTAATTTCAATGTATACATGACCGCACATGACAAAATACTGAGAGTATGTCGATAATAGAGTTGCGCAGATAATACCGAGTTAGAGTATATTAGGTCTACTCGGATCAGTGTAAACTAGTCAAGAGAAAAAAATGAGTAACTGCAAAAAAGCTTTTTTGCTCATAATAAATTCCTAACTTATAAAATTCCTTTAGATAATGACATCAATGTCATGATGACAAAGACAGGAACAAGTTATTATTATTGCATTTAAATATAATCACAAAATCTGTATATTAATAAAAAAAATCAAAAAAATCGCGCATCCGAATTTGTTTATCCGAAATTTATTACACTATTGATTATGGAATTGCTGACTTTTTTCACGGTGTAAATGTTCTAACACCATAGTAATCATCAAATATTAAACAAAACTATATAAAACAAATCATTTTTGCTATGGTGGTTAAAAATACAGCAAAATATCGGCAAATACTGACATTGGAATGTTTGGTATGTGGAGAATTTTCGTGTTTGGTAAACAATAGTTCATTTCCGGTTTACTTTATCATGTTTAATAATACTTTTTTGCAAGGTTACCATCTTAAATGAATACTTTAAAGTTGATTAAAGATCAGTTTTCATTGTTTAGTATATTTTTCATTTAAAAACTTTAAAGTCCCAACGGGACATCTGACTTGGACACCTTAAATTAGAAATCCCTTGCCAATTTTTGGAGTCCTTGGGACCGCGGGACTGCGTTAGTGTCGAACACTGTAGTTGGTGGCGCAATAGCTCAGTGTGTTAGAAGAAAGGAGTAGGCATGTCCACAAAATTTGTGTTTGATGGTAGAAAACATTTTTCCTAAGTCAGAAATGAATTCTAAGTCCATTCTCATTACACTATATACTAATATATAGACAAGGGTAACAACTCCCATAAGGTTTCTATGCCCAATCAGGGTTTTTGCCTCGCAGATTTTTATACATACGCCCCCTCGTACAAATCAGATAGCATCGTATTATGATGCTCTTGCTATAACTTAAATCACCCCACAAGAAATTGACATACTATAGGCAAAAAATAAAAGAAATAACGGTAAATATACCCCTCTATATATAAATAAACACACTTGTGTTTATTTATTAGTACAGAGGGGTATATTTGCCGTTATTTCTTATATTTTTGCTTATATTTTTCAATTATTGATAGAATGTCAAGCTCCTGTTGGCTATCCTAGTCACCCAAGCGTTAGTGTCGGTATCGGCATATGCCTAGCCACATATGTTAGTTTTTGTAACACCTCAAATATTTCGATTGACATATGGCTTTGAAACTTTGCACACTTGTTCACCATCATGACCCCAACATGTAGACAGGAGGAGGTAACTCTATCAAGCATTTTGACAGAATTATGCCCCTTTTTCAGCTTAGAATTTATGTTAAATTTTTTGTAATACCTCAAATATTTTCAAAGTCCATTGACATATGGCTTTGAAACTTTGCACACTTGTCCCCAACCTGCAGACAGGAGGAGGTAACTTTATCAAGCATTATGACAGAATTATGCCCCTTTTT